GGCAACTCGCATATTCACTTCTATTGGCAATTCATTACTCTTTATAACAGAGACGCAACGTGACGTGAGCTGAAGAAAATATAGTCTCTTAAAAGGATGACATCGGATGCAATCATCAGGACCAAAATACCTGTCGACTTTGAGGTTGTCACCTTGGGCAACCGCAGGAATGTGCAAACACCGTTTCAATTCGCTTCCCGAAGTAAACAAACTTCGTATGGTGGCTAGGGGTCCTGAAAGGAGCGACCACTTGCCAAACCGCTGCCGTTCAAGTCATAATAGCAGGGAAGTCACTTGACCCAGAACTGTTTCGGGCTTATTTGCCTTCATTTAGCCAAGTATAACCCTGCTAAACAGCTGGTCGGACAACACAAACAAACGCATTCACAGACGGCGCAGTTGGTCCCACAGGAGTCTATCAGATGGGTCATAAGTACTTCATCGGACTTCAGTTCATCAATGCCTCTCCACCTGCCACCGGGTATATATTCACTCAGTGAGTGCGCATGTTTGTTCTGTCCAGCCCAACTGGTGGTCAGAGTTATGCTTGACAATCTAAAAATTCGAAGGGCAAGAACGCAATTACCTTCATCTACCCAGTCGGGAAAGGATGAACTTCTTAATTAAGGAAATTAGGCTGGCGTGCTTAGCAGGAACTGATGTCGGACGTCCAGGTCGTGGAACGGGCGAGTTTATCATGCTGTAAAGCGGATGTAATTGTGAGAATGATTAGTATGTGCATTCTGCAACGTCTCTTTTACGATTACTTCCCTACATCCATTTGCAAACATAGCAGCAAAGATCATGTTACAACGATAAGCTTTAAACCTCCCTGAAGAGTATCTACGTTTTTTAAGGAACCTAGGATGCGCTTGTGTGATACAGGCAAGCGTCGCTACTCACTGTTAACACGGCACCGCTCTCTTCAAAGCCGGAAGCCTCTATCACATAGTTCGACCTTCGAGTTCGACAATGTTCACTGCAATCCAGCCTATACAGGGTTGTGCACAGACAGGGAATTGCATGCCATCTATTTCACTCTGTTCCATTCCCCCGCCTGGGTCCGTCATGAAGACGGGAGATGGGAGAGGCCGATTAGCCTAACAGGGCAGGGCAGAACAGTAACCACATAAGGCTGAGATTTTGTGATCCGGTACTGCCAAAATTAAAACCCTATCACTCTGTATGCACTGTCAACATTCGTTCAAGGTCCGGATTGAC